AGTAAATACTTCCGTGCTATAGGAAGAGGTTGTAGTAATCCAAGCATAGCCACTAACTTTGGCTTGTAGGATTGGCAGGTGGGACACTCTCCGATGTATTATCTTACATCTCCTTACGGATCCTCCTAGTGAAAAACACCACCTAACTTCTTATAAGTGATTGCCATACTCAAGTGTTCTCCCAAGACGTAATCATAGAAGATACTCACAATGTGTCTCCTTAGCTTATCATCATTGCCTACAATAGCTTACCTCTCCAAGTTAAAAGTTTATCATGCCATTTGTACAAAGGGTGTCTTGTTAAATTATAGGTCATTTTTTACAAGATTTGTTAGATGGAATGATCGGTTACCCAATAATCCCTTATTTGTTGAAGTAAATCGGAAGATAGAGTAGAAATAGCTATAGAATGAATTTCATAGCTAGGTAGTCCGGAGAGTGTGTCGACGAACCAAGTTTTTCTTCCCCTTCTTGTACAGGATCTCATAATCAAAACCCAACGACTTGCCAACTATATATGCTTGAATGGATGTAGCCATTTTCTATTCCAAGAGATATTTAAGGATGTGGTGGTCCGTCTTGATCTTAAAATGCTACGAATCTAAATAATGGCTCTATTATTTAATAGGTTGTATGATCTGTTAATAATTTTCTCTTATAGTTAGATAGAGACTGATTCTTAGGTAAAAGGGCCTTGCTAAAAAAGCAATCAAGTGCCTTTGTTGCATCAAAATGGCACCAATCCCAGTGCTTAGAAGCATCTATTTCAAGTGTAAACTCCTTGATGAGGTCGGGTAAAGCGAGAATTAGGGCTAAAGACATGGTTGTCTTGAGGATGTTAAAGGTAGTAGTACACTCTTGGAATCTTTCTTCAATAAGGCTATTAAAGGCTTACCGATCATGCAATACCCTTTGATGCACCTGCAATGGTAGCCTCTCAGCCCAAAACCCATATAATTACTTTAATTTTTTAGGAGTTGGCCAATGAACTACTGCTTGGACTTTCTTGGGATCGAGTGGATACTCTTTTAGTCGAAATACAATGCCCCAAGGATTCAACCCGATCAATGCCAAAAACACACTTACTAAATTTTACATACAATTGATGGGTTTTTAAAAACATCGATCGTTCCGAGGTGGTCAAGATGGTCTTCCAAATTCTCGTTATAAACAATGATGTCATCAAAGAATACTAGCATAAACTTACACAAATAATCTCAAAAAAACCTCATTAATTAAACTCCGAAAGGTGGCATGAGCATTAATAAGACCAAAGAACATGACCAAGAACTCGTAATAACCATGGTGAGTCTTAAAGGTTGTCTTAAGAATATCTAAGAAAAACATACGGATTTGGTGATACCCTAAGCATAAATCCAATTTGGAGTAAATACTTACCTTGTGTAGCTCTTCTAACCACTCATCAATTAGGGGGTGGGAAATTTATTTTTGACGAGTGTTATTGTTTAAATCCCCGTAATCAATACATAATCATCATGATCCATCTTTTTTTCTTAATCAAAACTATAAGATAAGCAAATGGACTTACACTCTGCTGAATAATTCTCATAGTATGCATTTCCTTCATTAGGTTTTCTATAATAACCTTCGTAATCCCGAATATCTATATGGGTGTTTGGTTACAAGTTGATTTCTCTCTAATAAAAGAATTTGGTGATCCCGCAACCTATTAGGATGTAATGTCTCGGGCTCGAAAAGACAACTTGAAATTCGTCCGGTTAGGTTGAGATTCGTCGTTAAAACCCGCTCGTGATTGGTAGAATCCATATGTGGGGGAATCACACCAAATAAATCTACATCCCATAAAGTAATGTTAAACAATTGCACTAAAGCTACTTGGGTAGGATTATTCAACGGCCTTTGCATGTGTACTTCGAAATGGCTTTCATCTTGACCTCTTCCCGATCGGCAAGCTTAACCTCTTGTCCTTCCCATTGGAATGCCATCCACATATCTTGATAATTCGAAACAATATTTCCCAAGGTTAAAAGCTATTGTATGCCCAAAACCATATCACCGATATGTAAGTTTATGATTAATACATCAACATAGAACTTAGTACCTTGCATAACTCATTGAAAACCCTTGCATATTAAAGTGCATAACATAGTACCACCATTAGCAGACCTCTATAGCAATTGATTTAACAAGGGTCAAGAAGCATCCCAATCTTTTTGCTATCTCTAAGTTGAGAAAATTATAGGTAGAGCCCGAGTCCACCAAAATATGCTTTGGTTTTTTATTCACATGTCTCAAGACTCTTAGAGTCCGAAATCCAATCCAACCTTTCAATGCATTAACAAAGATGTGTGGGGTAGATTCTTCTAAAATTCTTTAAGTGGATGGTAGATTCTCTTCTAGATCCAATTCTTCAATATGCTCATCAATTACTTGAATAAAAAAAGTCTTTTCTATTTACATATATGTCCGGAGGCATAAGTTTCATCACACCAAAAACACTAATTCTTGACCCTTTTTCTTCAAAGTCCTTATTAGTTAGCATTTTTAGCTAAAAGTTAGGCTTACGAGTATTTGGTAGGTTGTATATGGGTATGGGTAAGGAGTTTTATACTTGGTTTGATAGTCGGTGTAAATCTAGAATGGTGAGGCAAGGATTTTTGAAGTAAAAGGTTGTTGGCTTTAAGTAATGTTTCTTATTGTAGGAGTTTGTATTGTTTTGCTTTCGAGATAACTTATAAGCCCTACTTAGGTTTTGAGGTTCAAAATGGATATAGGACCATGAATATCTTCCCTTAGTCCAACCAAAAACATACTTAAAGCTTGTTATTCATTAATAGCGACTCAATTCCACAAAACATCAAATTCATCGATGTATGACTCTAAATTAGAAGTTGGAGAGATATTTTTTAACCGACCCAATGGATCTAACTTGGCTCCAAATCTACTTATTATTGCGAGCAACGTACTCATCCCAAGTCGACTTACAACCAAGCTTCCTATCCAATCTTTGGTTGTAAGCTTGATGCCAATACAAAGTTCCACCATCTAGAAAGTAAGAAGAAGCATATTGAACCTTTTCATATTCATCTATAGGTTTAATCTCAAAAAATTAATGACACCGATACAACCACTTATTGATATCATCACCATCAAAGGTAGGGAACTCCTTTGGTTTTTTAGGCTTGCGACAATAGTTAAAATTTGGACAAGGGTTGTGTGTTTTGTATTGTGTATTGGTAACTAGATATGGGAAGGAGTGCATCATGGTAGCAAGAGGTGTGGGCAAGATTGGGTTTGTATTGATGAGTGTTGGTAGTACATTTTGGTAGGGTAGTAGAGGAACGAGTAGCTAAGTTAGAAGATTGTGCATGATTGTGGGCGATGGGTGTGGTCGAAGAAACCATTAGAGAACTAAGTTTTTGAGTTCGAAAAACCTTCTGTTGTTTCTAAACCATCTCCCCTTTGCAAGAATGATCTTGTATGATTTTGGTTACTACCTCCATTCTTTCTATGGTTTCTTGGACCAACAACCTCATTGCTTCTTTTATGTTATACAAGTCATCCATTTTAGCATTTTTTTTTCCATGGAAACAATACAAAGCTCTAATACCGAGTGATAATTATGGATTCTTGAGGACAAAAGCGAGAAAAGAGGAAAAAGAAGAGTTGGGCAACAAAGAGAAGAGAAGTTTGAGAAAGAGACAAAATCATATATTGCTTCTTGGTACAAGCAGTACTATTATGTTATATATATATATATATATATATATATATATCACCATTCCGTTATATTTCATCTCGTATTATCCGACTCGAAAACCGTAACTATAAACATAACTTAACCTTAAGTCCAACCCCCTGCTACTACTTATTAATCAATGTAGCTACTAACTTAGCCCGTACCTTATAAACTGAATGACTCAACCCCTTACCAACTAAACCCACTTGATAGCCAAACTCATTTATAACCTAATTGAGAGAAATTCCCAATTCCATTCAATTACGCACACCACTTCCAAAAGCTCAATTCTCTGTTTTAGTTATCTCCTTTTTCTAAAGTTGAATTTCCTGTATCAATTACAGGCCACCTTCATAATTAAAACAATCAACAGCATATATATTAAGTAAAAGACAATAGATAGCCTGATGCATCACAGCAGAACTAGTAAAGCTTAGACAGATAAATAAACTAAGCCTTGAATTACATTTTTAAAAGTTAAAATTATTTAAAAAAATATTGCAAATGCACCATGGCTGAGAGCTGCATGCTAACAGGATCAAAACTGTAATACAACATATTACATCATTCAGTCCGAGCAGTACAGCCACCGATCAAACTAAATCATTGACGCCATTGCACCTGCATTAGCTTGCACAATATTGTAATCATGCTCCTCTGAAAAAGTCCAAACGATCTTCGTTGAAATTGAACAAATAAATGACCTATTCCACAAGGTTTGAAATCAATGCGTGACTGAAACCGGGGTACCATATCTAGAACACGGGGCCTTTATGTGTATTTTATTCTAGTTCCAAATAATGGCAGCGGTTCCCAGGGATTCTTTTAATCAATCTTTCGGAATATCCACAATAACAATGGCAATAAAATCCAAAAATTTGCCGAGCATGATGACCAGGTTCCTTCTATTATAAGTTTGCCTCCAAAACGAATCTTACTCCCTTTTTCCTTTGGAAAAAATGATTTAACGAGACGTTATAACTTAAAAACTCCAACTCCCAGATACTACAGATCTGTCTGCCGTCACCATATTGGTCCCACGATGCCTCCTCCTAACAGCTCTTCTCCTCAGCCATACCACGTCTGGTGCAATAATTCAAGTGAGACCAAACACCATCAAATGTAACCATGTTATGGGGGTGCTGGCATGATCAAGAACAATGCACGTGTGCGCAAGAAAGACACTGAGGCAAGGACTACTTAATTACACATTCACTGTGCGAAGAATTTAAAGAATATTTACACCGAGATCAAGAAGGACATCTAACTAAGCATGAATTCAACTGTCAGGAGCTTCAGTCGTCTTCACAAATCGACCCTTCACTCGCTTCCTAGTATCAGCTCTCGCCTTTCTTGATTCATACCGTATGTGCTTATCATATCTATCAACACAATTTAATTTATAAGAATGCATCACCTGATAAGCAAGCGTAAAGGATAGCTAGCAAAGAAAGGTATGCATACCTTCGGGTTTTTTTCTTCTCCTTGTAACGCTGCATGGCATCGCCTCTACTCCGGGTCAGCGGCTCCATGTCAACCTTGGTTGCTGCTTCTGTGTTCAAGACTTCACCTCTTACGGGAATAGACTGTTCCATGAACTGGACATCTTTAGAGCTACTTGAACATTTCGGTTTACTAAAACCTGAGCCTGATGACGTTCTTGCTATAGGAAGGTTGTTACTTTCAGATGTTGCTGGACCCTGGCTAGATGTTGGGTTATTTAGATTGTTCTGCATTTCAAAAATAAAAAGTATTAATAAGAAAAGAAAAATGAGCCACTGACAATGCACATGGGGTTGGGGATTGGCATAAATAGGCAATAGATGATATAGAACAGGCTCAATCACATCAAGGTCAAGGAACTTTCCCAATCAAATGCTTAACAGCATACCTTAAATTCATTTATATATCATATAAGTGAATAAGCAAACTGGACTGCATACAAAAAATTAACATCCATAGCACATAAGCTATGTGTTATTAATTATAATTTGAAAACTGGGTTTGAAGGGTCTGGTGTTAGTTGGGCCACTATTGTATGTAGAATAATAAAAGTTCAAAATTTTAACCAACTCCATGTACAATAATGGACAGTAAATTTAAAATGAATCCTTCTACTAGCCTACAATTCATATGTTGTTACTACTCAAAACTAGAAGTACTGAGATGTAGCACCACAAAACTGATTTTTAAAGGTTATGCTATCTTTACTGTAAATAATTAGTGCAGCAGCACTTCCTAAGAAAACTTTGTTAGCACCAACAAAAAAACAGAAGGTTTGCAAGAAAATCGAATTAATTCCTCCCAAAATATTTTACTGAGATTCCATCCAAGGTCGCGACAATTATCAATATAACTTACATTAAATGATGCCATATCATCACGGGCGATGGAGCAATTCATCTGGTACATGTCTCCCAACATTTTCGTGTTAGTTAATGATGTTTCTTTCATTAGTTCACCAAAATTCTTAATCACAAATCCTGCATCATTTGCACCATATTCAATTTCTAACTGGCCAGATTCATCATGATTCCTCAGTTGCCCTAAATGAAAATCCCATATCTGCAAAAGTAGCAATCTACTGTTATTATTGGAGACACATGATATCCTTTCTTCAGTGTCTTCACATGAAAAACTACTGAGTCATTCGAATTATGTTATCAAAATGATATGAGCAAGAATATGACCTCACATTTCCTAGAAAGGCAAGATGAAAACCTCTACCAATTGAATTTTCCAAATGCAAAATGCTGAAATTCATGAACACGCACTTGAAGTTCAAATCTTAATGAAACCCTCAAGAAAATACAAGCAAAACGGGATACATAATGACAATAGATAAATAAATTTCACCCATTTTTTTTTAAATATAATAATTTAGGAACAATTGCCTCCCAATTACAAACACAATCAATAAGACTATTCTGTTACTTGAAGGATGAGCAAACAATTATCAGAGTGACCACGACAATCACTTGTTGTGGCTGGCAATATTTATACTTAATCCACATGTACAAAACAACAAGAAGAATGCTCATAAAACATGGTATACATTTGGAAATCGCACTGATTCATATTTTACCTGAGTGCCGTGAGCATTGGCATTACTATCCCACATTATATCCCCACCAATAACTCTACCATTAGACTTGACATCCACCTCCGTGGGCAGCATAAGCAAAGAAGTAAACGGCATTTGTTCCTGCAACAACTGCTCACCTCTAACATTGACACCACCACCAGCATTATCATCCCCAAAACCCCCATCATTCTCATTCCCAAATCCCATTCCCTTCACACCCCTTCGCCACCCACTCCTACCCTGCAGCCTCCGGCACCAAATTCTCTCCTCCTCCACCATCACCAACCCGAAAATCACAACCCTCGCTGTCTCCACCACCACCCATCAAATCCCTTTTAAACAACTCTACCAACTGCTTATATATCACATGCTTATATTTCCCACAACATGGACTCTTGCTCACGTTTCCAAAACCCATAACATTGTCAATATTCCCATTACCATTATTATTGTTTTCATTAGGCACCATCAAATCTTGAAAAATAAAATCACCACTAGATTTATTATAAGCCCAAGGCTCATTTACCAGATCATGAATCACCCCGCAACTATTATTACTCCAATTTTCAATCAACGGCGCTGGTTTCTTCTCTTCCAAATCAAAACCCCATATGGAAGCCAAATCAAGGGCTGAGGGACAACCGGAAAACCCTTCAATGGTAGAACGATCGTGTGAAGCGGACACAGAACAACTACCGTGAGCATCCCAATCACACTCTTGACAAAGTACCAAATTATCAGTTGCGCAGAGGACAGAAACCGGCTCCGAGCTGCAGTTGTCGCAGATCTGTGAGCGGAAATGCTTGCGTGAGAGGAGGTTCGCGGAGTGGACATGTTGGTCGCAGAATAAACAAAGTTTCGCTGAGTCAGCCCGGCAGTAGAGAACTGCTGTTTGTTCGCTGCAGAAATCACATGGTACTGTTTCTTTGGTCTTTGATTTGTGTGTAACCATTTTAATTTTGCTGAAGAAAGCGAAACCCTAATGTGAGATGAGGAAGAGAGTGTTCTTTCTGGAGTTAAAGAGGAAGAAGAGATTTTTTATTTTTTGGGTAGTAAGCAGTAACTTTTTGGAAGTGAATAATAATTCAAATGTCCTTCTGCTTTTGGAGATGAGATGAGATGACATGAGTGATGTTGTTGTAATAACAATAAAATTTGGAAAGATGGAGCCCATTTTGGAAAATATCTTTCGGGAGTGAAAATATCTTTTACTTTTTGGCTTAGCTGGCATGTTACACTCAGTTTCTTAAAGTCGCATCTTACAAGATTATTGCTTTCCGGTACTATAATTTAATGTCATTGCGTACCATGTTAAATCTTCTATCTATTAAAGTGGTATTTGTAGGTAATTTATTTATTTATTGCCTTTGCTTACGAAATTGCCCAATTTACTTAACAATTCATCCAAACCTATGACTGTTACAGGAGTTAAGGTCTAAATTTTGCAAAAAATTGGTCGGTCAGTGAGAAGGCAAGCTGGATCTCTATTGTTGTGGGTGGGTGTGGGGTTACTTACGGTAATGTCTAAATGAGCGTAATCATTGGAAAGTTAAGAAAAGGAACTGGGCGTCTTTCAGGCATAACAGGGCACTGCTGCGAGGGGATTCAACGGAATTTGTTGATTAGACCGTTTTCTTTCTGGCAAGGGTTGAAGGCTGCATGTTGTTTCCCATTTATTGTTCTCGTACCAAAAAAAAAATGTCATTTTTTGTAAGATTGCAGCAAATTAAGACTTTTGCTATTTAATTTAGTTAATTTTAATCTTTAACTATTATATAGTCTCTTTATTTGATTTGTTCATTAGTATTGACCAAAAACTTTTTAAAAAAATCAAATTTATATATTTTCATAAAAGCCAAGTAAAATTCAATTCATTTTCGCAAACAATTTCAAAATTTTTTGAATTTGAAAATATTTTTTATTTTTTGAATAATAAAAATTTAATAAATTATAAAAAAAAATAATATAGAATTATCTCAATTTTTATAGAAACTCTAACGAGATCATATAAATTTACATCGGTAATTTTAATATGATTCTATAAATTTTATATGTGTGGTTACTAAAAGTAACGTATTTTAAACTTGTTCGGATGTTATGCTTTTGATAATTTAAATATTTTTAGAATCATGTTAAAACTAAACATATAAAATATATGATTTTTCAAGCCTTCCAAAAAAAATTTAGATTCATTCCAAATTATTTTCTATTATTTTAAATTTTTTTTAATACTTAATTGTTTAAAGAAATAAAAAAAATTGACCTGAAATTTTTTTAATTATTTTTAAAAAATTGAAATTTTATTAGCATATGTAAAAATTTTAAGTTCAAAATATCAACAATTTAATTTTTTTAGCTAAATGATAACGGTTAATTCAAAGAGAATGACATTATTCACTCAAAACAAAATAATTAAAATTTACTAAATTAATAATATATACCTCAACATACCCCAACTCTAATAGTTTGGTGATAAAAATTGCCACTATAAGAAATCGAAATCCACTTCTGTTAAAAACAGTAATGTTCTGGCAGCAACCTTTTTTTATTATATGAAAGATTCCCTCGTGATTCATGCTTCACATCCATCGAAAGCCGTGATAAATCAGTTGTCTATCTTTTGGAGATAACTACACATAAGTTCCCATGCGTATAAACCGTTAACAAATCAGTCCCCAAATCCTATCTTACTAATTTATCCCAATCTTTCTTTGGGTGACCCGATCATCCCTCCGTCACTCCATAAAATTACGGAAAATTGTTGCAGAACATAGAAGTTCTGATATATCATATTGAACTAGTTTATACTTTTTTCAAACGCAAATATAAAGGGTGAGAAAGAAGGAGTTATTTAAATAGAAAAGTGAAATTACAGTAATTCTTTTTCAAGTAAACACAATTTGTTTAAATAAGTATGTGATTTTTTATTTATTTGGAACTAATGTCTCGAGAATAAATTTGCTACTCCATACCGTAGACTATAACTTTTAAATACGCTATAGTAATTCCTATTGTGCAATGATCTTACATGACATCATGATGGATCAAAACGGAACCTATCAATTCATGGAAAAAATATATATTCAAAAATCACTTTAATCTACTAATATTATTATTATCATTATATATTGTCGCGTGTTTTATTAATAGCATGAGATCATATGTTGCTAAAATAAAAATTATTAAATATTTATTTGTTTTTACGACACAACAAAATAACAAAACTAAACAACAAGATAAATTTTTAAGTATATTGAAAATTTTATCTCGTTCTTTCGTAAAAACATATCAAGTTTATATAAAAATTATTAATAAAATTTATTTTATATAAAAAAAGATAAAAAAAATATAAGTTTTGATATACTAAATAATTCTTTAGACAACAATCCAATACACAAAAAATAAAGTTTTTTGTCAAAATACTTTATTCAATGTTATTTGAACAATGTGAAAAATCTAAAATTCTCTAATATAAATATTAATTTAAATAAGAGTGGACCTTTAGGAGAAAAAGACAACTACTTTATTCAATAGAGTTTTTTTATCAAAACACTTTATTCAATAGAGAATTTTAATTTAAATAAGAGTGGACCTTTAGGAGAAAAAGACAACTACTTTTCTCTCCGAAGATAGGATGATTAATTATAATGAAAATCAAGATGATAAGAAAACTTCAAAAGCTTGTCAATAGCGGAAATAATCATAAAATGGGGACCATAAAAGGAAATAAAAAGTAACTCACGTGCGAACGGCATAGAGAGTGGAGGTAATCAGGCAAAGAAGGCTTTTAGTTAGGAGCAGCATCCCGTAAGAGGAAAGGATTTGTGGTTCCCTAGCTCACAGTTCGTCATCCATGACGTCTCTCTCCAACCTTTTTTTGGTTAGTCGCACCGTCCTAGGAATTAATTTACTCCACTATTCCATAGACGTTGTCTTATTTAATTTTTCATGTAGTTTTAAAAAATATTAATTATTATATTATATCAGTAATTTTTACTCTTATTTTTTAATTAAAATTATTAGTTATTAAATTTAATCATTACATGAAATCAATATTAATTTAATTAAAAAATCTACCTAAAATTAAAATGATAAATCAAAGAAATAAATTATTAAATTAATTAACCATCAAATTCAAAATAATTATAAAAAAAATAACATACCAATTGAAATATTTTACTCATAAAATTTTGAGATGCAACAAAGTCTCTGCAAAAATAAATACTTTCCATGTTACCAAAAAAAATTGTTTAAAATTTTATGTTCAAAATATTTGTATGTATAAAAGAAAAGTTATAAAAAATATTGATTTTTGGTTAGAAAATAACATGAAATGAAAGAAATACTTAATTTTCTTAATCAATTAGAAATACATTATTAAAAATTTTAACCAGATAAATATTTTGAAACACATATATATATATATATATATATATATATATATATATAAGCAAATCGATTTGAAACAAAAAGAGTAATTTCTCATGAGTGTGTATTTTAATTTAGCACCTCCCTCCGTACTCCTTAAATTTGCTATCTTTCCCAGTTCTCATCCTGTAATGCATTTATTTTTATTTTTATTTTTATTTTGTGAATACGCTATATTCATAGAATATTTTCTTTATTTTCAATGCAAACAGATATTAAAAAATTACTTAATAGAAAATTTTTCTAATCAATTATTGAACAGTGTCAATTATAATAAGATTTTTTAACCTTATAAGAGAGGAAAAATATTTTTGTATCTATAAACCCATAATATTCACCAAAAGTATTACTTTTTTCTTCTACCCATTACCACCGTAACAAAAATCATCATCTGGTTAATACTACGGTCATTGTCTGACACTACATCACTTGATTACTAATATCACTAACATTATAATTATTATTTTATCGTGATTATCATTATATCTCTCAGTCACTATTATAAATATCATCAATTGTCACCGTCGTTATCTGATTATTATTATAAACATCATTTTATTATCATCGCTAATTCAGTACTATTGTTGCAAACATTACCGCCATTTATTTGTTTTAAATTTTTATAAAAATAAGATCACAATCATGTTCACTATAATTTTTAAAATCATTTTTCTAATTTTTAAATATTTTGACAATCAGTTGAGATTTTATTTTTAAATTTAAAGCTATAAATGATATCAAATCATCTTCGAATTTTACAGTTGTTGTTGCTTATGCAACTAATGTTATTAATTTGTTATTAAAAAAAAACGTGGTTTGTACCAAAACAAGGAAAAAGAAACACCTATGGTTATAGTCGGCACGGGTTATATATTCCGACCAACTCCGGAAGGTGCTACGTGTCTGTCTATCTGGATTTGATTGTAATTTGCTTAGATTAGATCATCCATAATTGTATAGATGGTGCGTATCCAGATAAGAGCCAGCAGCCTACGTGTCATGCCAAATGCATCGGAATGAGAAAATGGGAAAAGAGACCCTGCTTTTATTTGTAGACCTGTTATTCCCCTCAGTGATTGAGGTTTGAGAAAGTTGATGTTAGAAAACGACAGTTGTCTACCATTTGCCTATAAGTTTTCATTATTGTCCTTTGCTGCCTTTTCACCATACAGTAAAAATCACATGTTCAAATTTTGGACGAAAAGCAGCTCTCCTGCCGACCCCAAATTGATTTTCATCATTTCAATGATGGAATTGTATATATAATTTTAGCTCATTATTTTTTAACCGTTTATTTCTTTCAAGTCGAGTGGTAATGAGATTCAATTTCAAAATCTCTCAATAATACTAAATACTTTGTTAGGAAAATGGATTATTCATTCTTAAGACATGTAATTTATATAATAATAGTAAAATGAATCAAGAAATTTAGTAAAATAATATATTTTTAACACATAACATTTGTCATGTTAGCTGAAAATTTCGTAAAATGTGATGTTTTTAACATCATAAATATATCATGTT